CAGAACCTTACTTGATTCTGGCTTCAAGCCCCGTTCGCGGACACTTATCTTTCTTCCCTCCAAATGGCTACCACGGATAAATATATGAGAAGGAAATACAATATTGCAGCTGTGTTTATTGCATCATTGTTGTCGATTCTGCCTTCAAAACCAAGGCAGTCCTGGATGATGCCATGGAAATGGAGATCAGCTTACTTACCATTGAGTATATGAAAACACGGGTGCTAGAAGTGGCCCTATCTCGTAGGCGTAAAAACCGTCATTGCAACGGTTACAAACTGCCCTTTATCTATGGCGATTTTCTTACTCACATTGGTGAATAAATTAATTGAATAAATAATATACAAGAGTATCAGACAGAGGAAGAAACACTGACTCGTGCGGTCTCGTACCACAGACACTCAATCGTTCGGGTATTACCTGTATAAATATAGGCATAACAATGTTGTAAGAAACTGCTTTGTCAAAGACTAGATGGAGATCAGCCACGAGAAATGAAAATACTCTAAGCTTCGAAGAAATAGCAACTCGTCGAGCGAATGTCTTATTATGAGACGGTGTAAAACGAACAGAAATCATCGATTTAACGTTTCCGGTTAACGTTACTCGTTGTGAAGGGCGGAGGGAGACCTTGAAGTATCACGAATTAAAGACAACGTAAAGTACCGTTTTTCCCATCGATAACGCGCACTTTGTACTTTTTATGTCGTCAAAATAAATGTGAGCATCCGTAATTTGTCTAGTAAAAAGTACATGCAGTTATCCCGCACAAATACGAAAACAGTCTACCTGATGTTCCGCGCGTAAATGAATAAAAACAGTATTCATCATCTGTAGGCGTTATTTGTTAAGATATGTGCGGACATTTAAATGTTGTGTAATAGCTACAAATAATATGTGGAATAGGTAATCAAAGTACGGGGATGGTTGCTGAAGTTATAAGGTGTTTTTTATATGCTGTTTTTCTTAACATCGATTTTTGTAGTTATTGAAAGTGGACAGTGGCGAGTTCGTTACGAAGTGTGACCTCAGCGACCTTCCAAAAATCCCGACCGACGATCTGCATCAGATTCTCGATCAGCTGGCTGTCTTTCAACAGCGAGTAGGCTGGCGGTTGATACTCGAAGAAGACAGACAATTCATCGAAAGGTAGTCTTATTCGAAATGGTTCTATTTGCTTGCCTGTTAAACTGTATGTCGTTTTAGTTACTCTGCTGTCTTCGCCAAGCAGCAAGCTCTTCTGAAGGCTAGGCGGGAATATCTCGACACAGCAGCTACCCTTTCTCTCCACAAACAAAAACCAGGTTTGTGAGTTCTTCGATCTCCCGTCCGTCCGACAATCAATCAGTCGTGTTTTCTTGAAATGATTTCTTTACTTTCGAATTGCATTTAGGTACTTTGTAACTGGATTGATTCATGAGTACCGTACGGCATAGAGCTGTTTAGTTTTAGGTTTCCATTTATGTTATCAGCCTTTATCAGTTGGAGACAATATACAGAGGTACGATCATATCAGATTGTCAGGATGTAATGAGTTTTTTTTGTCGAAAGTTTATTTTTCCCCATAGAGAAGATACAAAATCTGTCGTCCCTGTTTATGCCGATAGGTTTTGTTTGGATTATGAGCACTTCAGCAACAGTTTTTTGTAGTTGCCGACTGGTTTTGCTCTGATGGGTGGTCGTTAAAGTCGGCTCTGTGTGTGGTGGAAATTTGGTGTGAAACTTCCGCTGTGAATTTTTCCAAACCTCGGTTTTCTTTGGTAATTGGGTTGATGGAGGTAGCTATTCTCTCTTGTTCCACCATCTTTGTTCGTAATGGTCTGGTGGTTTGAGCGACGCAGTACAGCTAACATTTCATATACCGTATGTAATAGATTAGGATATCCTGTCTTTAGTCTTGTCAAAGAAAATCTTCAGATTCTCGTCAGATTTGAAGACGATTCTGATGTTCTCTTTTCCGGTTGGTTTGAAATGATGAGAACAGAATACTGCAGTCGGAATAATCAATCGCGCTTGTGGTCAGCCACTAAGTTCAAGTTTTTTGTTTTTTCAATTACCGAAGAATGTCAACGCTTCGAAAAAAGCACTACAGCGGCTGTTCACGAAATTTCCGTCTGATACAGCGTCGATTTTAACGATCCAACCATAATCACAGCAGTTGCCAATTACAAAGAACATCTAGTTGCTAAAGTGCTCTTAATCCATGAAAGATGCGTCATGAATAGAGATGCGGGAGTTTCTCTCCGCCATGTCGAAGCTTACGTCAAACTCCGTAGAGAAAAAACAACTATGATTACGTCCTGATGATCTTGTATAACTGTACCGCTGTATGTTTGCAGTTGATAAAGGGTGTTAACATCAACGGAAATCTTGGTTCTGTGCCAAAAATGCTTTACGCCGTTAGTATTAATATGGCGATTAAGATCACTGCGTATCGTCTTTGCCGTGTATCTAGACATAAATAGTGATTTTTTTGGGGGATATTCCTTAAATGTGGATATGTAAGAGGGTTTATTCAGAAGTATATTTTGGAGAGTATGTTGCTAGTTGTAGCGTCTGTTAAACTTTCACTCATCTCTGAAAAATCTGAATCTTTCACGATTCTTGGATAAAGACATTGGACTAGTTTCCTTGTTTTTGTTTCAATTCGTTCACTGAGAAACACAGTTAGCCCATACGGTGGACTAAAGTGTTTTACTGGATCGCTGGATGTAGGAATCGAAATGTATATAGTTCATGTGTGAAGATTTTTGATATACGGAAATTCTTCGTGTTTCGCTGTCCCTGTATATTACAGTAAAATTCGGTTCGGTTGATTCAGAATTTACGAAGAACGAACCCTTAATTAAATAAAAACTGAAATATGATACACAAAAAAATATACATGAATTACCATATTGAATTCAGTTACAATAAATCTTTTGGTTGTTTAACTCACTAACTGTGTTTACAATAAGCTTCACCAAACGATACAATCTAGGCATAAAACAACATATTTTACTGAAGTTCCAGTAACATCAGAATCGAAAAATGCTCACCTGAAGGACACATTCGCTTGCACTGCAGATGGTTAATGTTTCAAAAAATGGGTTTGAGCCATACTAGTCAATTTCTACCATGTAAGGGGCAAGTCAGCTGCCAATACTGGTGCTGCTGCTGTCAGTTTCCCAAAAGTTTAACTGCATTCACCAGTCGCATTTTTCCAAATGAACAGTAGACGGTAAAATTGTAAGACAGATGCATAAACGAGCCGCATATATTAACGAAGCGTTTCGCATCAGTTTTATTCAGAATTATTCAGAACCAATTCCATTTTGGTACTCACATAAAAAATTGTTTTTTCGGTTAAATTTGAAAGAAAATTTGAATTACACCGAAATTTCAAATTGAAGAGTTCTGGTTTAATCAAGTTTTACTATTGTAGTATTGGAAAAGACATTTTCATCTTCTTTCTTTCCATAGGTAAACTGACGTTATGTAGGCTGCCATTTTTAAAGATGTTGCACACATGAGATAATACACTATGCCAGTAATGTAGCA